TCCGGGAAAACCAACAACCCAACTCTTTGCCAACAAAAACTTCAGATTTCACCCTCCGAACGACCAAAGAATTACTAAGTATGCCACCTGAGATAGAGATGGATGATTAAAATTGAGGTACTGAGGTTTACTTGTGATCTGGATGAAAAGTGAAATTTACAGTTGATTGGTTAAAGGGGCTCGAGGGCTCCGCTACGAATACTGGGCGCAGACGCCATTTTCTTTTTTTTTTGTATCTCAGGTGGCGTATTTACCGTCCAGTTGTAACCACTCAATAAAACCCTCCTACTATTTGAACAGTCACAGACAAGTCAAATATTCCATCCACTTCCGTTGCCATGCCTTTTACATGGGCCAGTCACCAACAGTCAGATCATAATGTCAAGCAAGCACTCTGACTAGGCAGTCCTAAGGCTAACTTCTCTGGAACGAAATATGGTTTGACTACTTTAGTCGATTATTTGGAACCAGAGCATGGGCTTGGTTCCATCGCTGGCTACCAATAGCTGTGTGTATCATGCACAGTGCAGAGCGAGAATCAAGTTCGGTAATGACCAGTGTTTGACACATCGCTATATGCGTAGGAGTGAGTTACGTAATAAAGCAATCACTAGTCGACTGATGGTCCTTGCCCAAACTTGCCCTTTATGAATGTTGCTTCTTTATGAATGTTGCTACATGTACATCAGCCGTAGGCTCAAACTTGCTTGAAACTCCCAGCTGTTGGCTTTAAGTTAAACTACATTATTTACCTTCTATTCAGGACTGTGCAGGTCTGATAACTCTTTTTGATAACCGTAGCTGAAAAAAACCCCAAAAAACAACAGAACCCTTACCTTCATTAAAGAGGTTGTGGAATGCTCGAAGACATTTCTGTCATTTTTCGGGGAAATATGAAGCCTAAGGTGTGATGAAATAAAACGACTATCGTGTCTGTCATGAAATGAGTACAAAAGGTACTTTTGAGAGCTGTTTTGAAACAAAACATAGTAAATCGTGACGTAATAAACAGGACTCGTTTATACTACGCTGCATCGGGAGTCCTGTTTATTACGTCACTATTTACTATGTTTTGTTTGTTTACACAAATTGCACGTTCGGGTCGAAACAGGACCTGAAAAACAGCACTCAAAAGTACCTTTTGTACCCATTTCATGACAGACACAATAGTCGTTTTTATTTCATCACACCTTAGGTTACATATACCTGAAAAAATGATGGAAATGTCTTCGAGCATTCCACAACCTCTTTAAATTACATGTGTACTGTATCAGCGCACTGTATTTATTTGGCATTTTGGCCAACCTTTCTGGGGTAGTATGATGTATGATTGGACCAACCTTACTTACTCTGTAGCTGACAAAATTCTACAAAATGTTTGTGAGGCCAAGACAAGGTCCTCGGTATTTCACCAGCCAAGTTTGAGGTCTCAATTCAATTTTTAAAGGAGAGTATTCTTCAACATTTTGCACCTGAGAGTGTCTTTGCCTATTAGAGTGAGTAAAGTTGGCCTGATTTAGAGTTTCATGTTTTTCCGCACTCGAGGTCCCAGTCTGGGTTTTAGCTTGAGTAACAAAAAAGTTAACAAGTTTTTGGTGTTTTTTTTTTATCACATGAAAAGAACGGATTGCAGCACTTTTAGGGGGATAGTAAACTGATATTTTATTTTGTGGAGCCTAATGTGAAATTCCTTGCGGGAAAGAAAGTGCTTTATTAATTCTTGCGCTATGGCTATCACAGATACATGGAAGTTCCTTTACTTACGATTGAAACTTGAGAAAAGTTTATCATCTTTCAACCTCCTGTTTGCCGACTGGACAGTGATATGGTATACTCTAGCTGTGGGGAAGAAGCTGTTTTTCGTAATGATTTAACCCAGTTTTTAGGTTTTCATGAGAAAAAAAACAAATTTGACAGATTAAAAGTCAGTTGTGACCCAAGGACATAGTGTATTACTAGCAAGAAAAGTAAAAACATGAGTGAATTTACATGAACTATTCATATGGATATGACTTTTTTTTAGTGATAGCTGAGTAGTTGACCTGATAAACACAAAGTGATATAGTAGCATACTAATATTGGATTTCCATCGCATCGGTGGGTGTTAGTGTGTGTTTTATTGCACACTGATATTTTCGTAGGCCCTCAAATTTTTCGTAGGCCCCAAATTTTTTCGTAGGCCCCAAATTTTTTTGTAGGCCCCAAATTTTTCGTAGGCCCCAATTTTTTTCTTAGGCCCCAAAATTTTTCGTAGGCCCCAAATTTTTTCGTAGGCCCCAAATTTTTCGGAGGCCTTAGGCACAGTGCCTACTGTGCCAATTCCTACATGTACCTTCAGTTTTCAGTTTTACTCTTCTTTTTTATTTCTCTTGTACAGCTTTGTACATGTACCTTGAGTGACTTTTAGCCTTGTTTAGGGGAAATATGTCCAAAAAAACCCTTCTGATACATGTTTTCATCATTGCTTCATTATACCCTTTTTGGGAAAAAAGGCAGAGATGGATAGACTGTTAAAGGATCTCATGAACTGAAGGAAGTACAGAACCACTTCCGTTTTATTTCATAAACTCATTCCATATAAGCCCCATTTGATTAATCAAATCAATAATGCCTACAGAAGCAAGAATTTTGAATGCAAAATATAAGATTTCGTAGATATGGAACGTGTACAGTGTGAATCAGAGTGATCTGGACCCAAGTTCACCATTTTTTTGGGTGGCAAATAGAGTATATTGAGAAAAAGCTGAGTGTTTCATATGAATGGTTATTAGCTTGTCTTCCACAGGAATTTTGGATTTTTTCAAATCAGTGGCTGTGGTGAGGAGTTATAATGCCATTTTCATTGAAGTGGCTCATTTTCCAATCTGCACACGGAATTGGTTTCAAATGTGTCAGTAAAGTAGTGAGTCAGTCACCATGACTACATGTAGGTTTTTATTTGTTATTACACTGCTTCACATCAGTACGCGATTTCAATCAATTTGTTGAACCATGGAACCGTGGTCAGAGTGTTTTCAACGCATGTTCTTAGCGCTTTTCTTCAAAACGGTACATAAATGAAACTTTCACCAATAATATGTCCAAAATATAAGCCTACAACATCTCTTTGCACTTGTTTTGATAATTGCTACCTATTTTTAATATTTTCTCTAATTTGGGATTTTCACTCTTTGCACTTGTTTTGATAATTGCTACCTATATTTAATATTTTCTCTAATTTGGGATTTTCACTCTTTGCACTTGTTTGGATAATTGCTACCTATTTTTAATATTTTCTCTAATTTGGGATTTTCACTCTTTGCACTTGTTTTGATAATTGCTACCTATTTTTAATATTTTCTCTAATTTGGGATTTTCACTCTTTGCACTTGTTTTGATAATTGCTACCTATTTTTAATATTTTCTCTAATTTGGGATTTTCACTCTTTGCACTTGTTTTGATAATTGCTACCTATTTTTAATATTTTCTCTAATTTGGGATTTTCACTCTTTGCACTTGTTTTGATAATTGCTACCTATTTTTAATATTTTCTCTAATTTGGGTCCAGATCACTCTGACTCACCCTGTACATGCAGATGTATACAGTCCATGTTCATGGATATGTTCAGTGTGTTTATATCTTGTCTCATTTGCGAAACTTGCCCTTTTACATGTCATCATAACAGTCGTTTTTATGGGTGCCTCGTGATTAAACAAACAAAAGCACTCTGAGGCTTGCCACAAGGACGTGACGGTCTTGAGAGAAGGGGGAGAAACGATCGCCCTTTTTTTGTTTTTATAATGTTTTTTTATTGCTCTATGTGCGTCATGCATTCGTCCTTCCTCTCCTGGCCACCACCTGATGATGGCTGAAGAACAAGGCCTGTCGTATACAGCCGGGGCAAATTATGCGTTAACGGTGGCGCCGGGGGAGCGTGTAGTACATAAAGCCATGCGCCGCTTAATTAATCATCCTCACTAGTTGGGTAATTGCGCTGGAAGGAACAATAAAAAAATTAAAAAAACGGCCTGCGGTACCTTCTGAAGTGGTACCTGAATTTTTCCGGTGTGCGGGGTGGTTGTCGCACGCTGTGATAAAGATTGGATGCAAATTATATTCAGGACGGACTAAGTAGATTTTTAATTAAAATAGTCCAAATGCACAGGTCTTTATAAATATCCAGATTACTTTCAGTTTCAAACTTTGAATTGCTATACTGAGGACATTTGGGGCCGAAGCTTTGTATAATTCCATTTTTATTTTTAAGTCAGTGATATTTTTCTGTCACAGCTGCTACAAAATGCCCACTTTTTTTTGGGGGGGGGGGTAATTCAGATCTCAGTTTGCGCTACAGTAAATTACATTAGGCTCATACTGTGTATTTTAATAAAATCCTAAAATTTTCACATCAAATCTTGCATATTAGATAAACATGGTAGGCAAAGTACAATTCATTTGTTGATAGTCATTATGAGGTACATGCAATCCCTGCTTAAATAATTTTACTCAGTATTTCACTTAAATCAGTTTTAAAAAGAGTACAATGTTTTATTTATTCCTGAAAAAAATTAGCGCACAATTTCAACTTTCTAGTGTAGGAATTGCAGTGTGAATCATTTGTGGAAGTTGGAATTTTATTTATTATTTTAAATTCTGTTTAACAGTGTTTGACTTATTAGTCAAGATATGTATACCTTTTTTTAACAGGCATATCACACTCAGTCTTGTATATTTTTGAGCATTTTGTATCCCAGATACTAAATCATTTTAATGCATATTGTTTAAAAACTTGTTTAACAATTACTGTATGTGAAGACATGGTATACAGCTTACAACATGCATTTCACATGTCTAATAACATTGCAACTCGATCAAGCCGATCTACACATGTACATGTACATGTAATATTGCAACTCAAGACGACTACATGTATCTAATATTGCTGCATATATTATACGATGTAAATTTAAAGCTTCATGCAAAATTCATCTGTTTTTGACTCAAACAAATTTCCTTGTAATGTTGCCTGCCAGGCAGTGCGTGTATATGATTTACATTTTCATAAATTATTAATTCGCTGTCATGCCAGCGCATTTGTATGTGACATAAGTGTACTAGATTACCGTGGCATTGGTCGAACCGTGCACTAAAAAGCCAGTAGTGCACGGGGAATCTACAACCCTAGCCCAGCCCACACACACACTGATGTGCACACGGTGAGGCGAGTCATCGAGCAGCATCTGCATGTCGGAGGGGGACTGTCTGTCGCCGTGGTGACAGTGATGTCATCAATTGAATCTGGGATGCTGATGATGCCGGTGGGATGATGCCGATGATATTGGGGTTCGGTGGGCCGTGTGGCGGTGTTCATATCGCCAGTGTGGAGTCCACGCATCTCATATGCCGCACAGACATGTTACATTGTGCAGATATGGTGTAGGTTTCTCCCATCTGTGTGCTGTCTTGGATGAGTATACGTCAAGCATGCTGGTGGTGCACATGTAAGCACTACTGTGTCTGTACATGTACATCAAACAGTCTGAATTTGGATTTCTGCAGAGGATGATATACTCGTAGGATTCTACATGTAAGTTTCTAAATGTAGTATCTTGAAAACTTGGTCCGGGCACTATTACAAATATAGCACTACACACATGTAGTAGTGATTGTTATAATGGATGTACATGTACATATATTCATTTAGGCGTGTGACTGTTGTAGTACCGTACGTGCGCTAAGTTGAAAACCTTGGGTGTAAGTGGGGAATGCATAATAATTACTGTGTTAATATTGCTGAGGAGAATGTAAAATCGTTTTGGATTAGGCGGTAATTTGTTTGATCATATTTGGCATATTTTGCTTGTCTTCATATTGTAATTGAGCAGAGACACATGCTCCATGGTGGAAGATTGTTCTGCCGTGAACAATGTGTACTTCATAGGAGGGCAACTCCGTAAATTTGGACGTGCAGGTCAGACACTTTAGTGATCTGCTATCGGAAAAGTGACTGTGATACAAAATGTACTTATAACTGTGATATCCCACAGGGAGTGTGCCATGACTTTTTATAAACTGAACACGTGATAGTTTTAGGCCAATGAAAATACAGTATTCAAGACCGCTCAACAATTCACTAATTAGCTAATCTGTGACATCTAATGAGTAGAAAACAATTACAGACTAAACTAAGGTAGCACCACCACCATACCTGCACAGATATGCGCAAATCACCACTGTTGTGAGCAATTTGATGAAAAATCAACGAGAAAATTGGCTTATTGACAACATCATTTCGTTCTTGTAAAACGGTTCTGGATAATTTCATCCTTTGTGCTCTTGGGCATTTTGCTTGAAAAGCTTAACTTTTCACAGTCCATTAAGCGTAATGCCCCAAAAGATATCTTCAATACATCAATTGTGTGAATTGTGACGGGAATCGTACTACATGTGGGGATTTGAAGTAAAATAGAATTTCAAAAGGAAAAAGTTACAGGGTCCTGCGTTTTGATCCTATATAGCTGGATCTTTATCAGGATAGAAACGTTCGGTCCTCTAACTTTGTTGATTTGTATATTTCAGGTCAACCCAGTCAGTAAGCAGTTTACAGCAGTTTTGTTCATTTCCCTTTTTTTAGAATTTCAAAAGAAAAGTTTTACTGTATTAGTGTATTTACAAAAAAACGTTATACTGCTCCCAGGCCTAGATTATCCAACAGGCACAGTAGGCATGTGCCTAGGGTCTACAAAAAAACATGGGAGCCTACGAATATACCCCAGTGTGCTGTAAAACACATGTACACACAAAAGTTTTCAAAGTTGTAGTGTCTCTCTTAATTTTTCTATTTCACCAAAACTGACGTTGATGTACATGTAGCTGCATGTACATGCACGTATAGAATTTACATTTAGGCCTTACGTTTGTCGTTCTGAAGCACACGGTGCCAGCAAGCTTTTAGAGCTACCAGTTTGGCCTGGCTTGCTTAGTACAGCTCAGCATCAGCAGGAAATGCGAGGCTCCAGTGCGACTTGGCGCTATGAAATAGGTGCTGGTACCTAACTAGGGCGGGAGCAGGACCTACATGTACGGAGCACTGGTGTCTAGGGCCTACGGAGCACTTAATACAGTGGAACGCCGCTATAACGAACATCGTGGGATCCACAGAAAGTGTTCATAATAACGATCGTTTGGTATAGCGATTTTAAACCGCCGATACCCCCTTGGTTTTCCCTTTTATTCCTTGGGGAAATAATAGCCATCTATCGCTCTTTAACATTCAAACACGATATAACCATAGGTCATTTGATGTTTGGGAATTAAAAGTGGCCCAAAGAGTGTTTAATACATGTACAACCGGTAGATTTTTTGTTAATCTGTTGACTTTTTGAATAACAATGTTCGGTACGTTTTGTACATTAAAAACCGGGAGCCAAGGATGATGTTCGGTATAGCCGAATGTTCGGTATAGCGGCGTTCCACTGTACTGGCTGATCCATGTCAAATTCTGGCTGTGAAAGAAACATTTATTTTACCCCAGTCCCCCCCCCCCCTCTCCCCCCCCCCCAAAAAAAAAAATTAAGAAAATCCACCAGCAGGTTTTTAGAGGAGGATGGAAGAGGAAGGTAGAGCCCAACCACTTTGACTAAAATTTGCAAAAGACTTTTGCTCCCTAGTTTATATAATGGAGAATTTGGTTCCCTTGAAGGCCCTTACGTACAGTAAAGCATGTGACATCATTGTTTGACAACAATGTTGGACATGAAATAGTGTAAACATATTTTCCCATTATAGGCTCTCTTCAGTGTTATTTTTTTTGTCCCAGTATATTTAAACAGCAAAGAATAAGGAGTGTAACTTATTACTGCTTAAAAACGCTGGGGCTGCCAACCCTCACGCATTAAGCATGAGATTCGCACATTTCAGGTTGTTTTCACGTTCTCACTCATAAATAAAACTCGAAAATGTTGTTTTAATAATTAATGATCTTTTGCTCAAAAAAATTGGTTAAGGTGGTCAGAGATTGCCTCAGATCACACCACAAAGCATCTAGAATCCCAAATGTTAAAAAAAAAATTGAATCCCAAATGCTTAAAAAAAAAAATTGGTTAAGGTGGTCAGAAATTGCCTCAGATCACACCAAAGAGCATCTAGAATCCCAAATATTTCGGGGCCCTTCAGCGGGCCTGAAGCCACGCCGTTAGGCTCTTACATGTAGCTCACTCTCAGCTCTAACTCAAAGTTGGCAGCAGTGAAACACCTTGCATTCAATAACTTGCTTGATTTATACTTTCATCATATCAGCAGAGTTACATTCTGTGGTGGGTGTGGACCCCTTTAACCCTTTAGCACTTGTATTAAATTGTATTACATTGTATTTACTCCTCCATATTTCAATAAACCCATAGAGTGCTGGGGCGGTTTGAAGCGGTATGAGTAACAGGCAGGGCGGTTTTGGGCGGTATGAGGGCTAGTGGGTTTAAAGTGTCAAAACCACAAATGGAAACTGGAGTGGCATTGAACCAGTGACCTTTAGAACACCACACTGATGACACTCTACCAGCCCTATATGGTGAGCTGGCCAGCCCTTTGTTGTTAGTCGTCCAAATTGTCGCTGTTCTTCTTCACAGGGCACTAATCAGAAGCATATGGCCAAGAATCTCACCCAAAATATGCTAACAATAGAAACACTGCTGAGGGGTTTGGGGTTTGGTGAATCATATACATGTATGATTCATGAACAATTTATAAATCCTGTTTTGTTCTGTCGCTTGTTTCATATTTCAGATGTTGACTGCTACCTCGCACCTTGTCACTGGCACTGTTGGTTGAGTTCTAGATCAGTGGACAGGACTCGCATCTTCTAGGTCATCCGCGAGTGTCAGCCTTGGATCTCAAGCAATGAACACTTGTTTTTCTGTTTACCGATACTGTAATAACATAACACCACCTTGGCTCATCTATGGGGGCGTTAAAACAGTGCGCTGGGGAAACCTGTGAGGACGTGTGTCGTACTTTTAAGGGACATAGATGAAAAGTGATTGTGTTGAGCAATAGAATGCCAACTTGAGCAGCGGTGACTCGGTGCTGCGATGTGTTTGACGTGGTAGATGGCAGAATCGTTACATGTGTTTTCTGCAGAGTTGTGATTGATCGTGAGTCCTGAAAACAGCCATGGCTGTGCTGGGGTTACTGTCCAGAGTGATGGTTCCGACCAACGGGGGATCGGCACTCCCTGCTCTGGTGATGATTGTTCTAATGCAAGCAGGACCGACCGTCGAGCAAACTGCTGCCACAACTATGTACGCTAACACCACGATGCCGGTAGGTACCACTGCGGAGTCTGACACTCAGTGCAAAAGAGGGCTGATTTTACCAGTGTGGGAGCCCCTGGACCCAGGATTAGGAGACCAGGTTGCCCGGGCAATCGTGTACTTTGCTGCACTGTGCTTCATGTTCCTGGGTGTTTCCATCATTGCCGACCGTTTCATGTCTGCCATCGAAGTCATCACGTCCAAAGAAAAGGAAGTGATAGTCAAGAGACCAAACGGTGAAGTACTGACGGTCAGCGTACGGGTCTGGAACGAGACCGTCTCCAATCTGACTCTGATGGCTCTGGGGTCCTCCGCCCCTGAGATTCTGCTCTCCATTATTGAAATATGTGGAAATAATTTTCAAGCAGGGAAACTGGGACCCAGTACTATAGTCGGCAGTGCCGCCTTCAACCTCTTTGTAATAATCGCAGTTTGTGTGAGTGTCATTCCTTCAGGTGATGTCCGGCGCATCAAGCATCTGCGGGTCTTCATGGTCACGGCATCCGTCAGTTTGTTTGCTTACATTTGGATGTACATGATTTTGGAGTTTATAACCCCAGGTGTGATTGATCTCTGGGAGGCCTTAGTTACGCTCGCGATGTTTCCACTAACTGTGTTGTGGGCCTACGTGGCAGACAAGCGCATTTTTTTTTACCGCTTCCTTCGCAAGAAGTACAAGGCGGAAAAAGTGGTCCGGCGAGACTCGAGCCTTCGCGCCGGTGCCGTTGAACTGGGCATCCCTGGCGAGACCAATGCCAACCACTTTAATATGAACCACGACCACGAAAATGTAGACTTCCGTGGCAAGAAGATGCTTGATCCATTGGATAGTGATGTAAAAGATCTGGAGGAGACACGAAAGGAGACGGTTCGGTTGCTCCGAGAGCTTAGAGCCAAGCATCCTGATGCAGATCTGCAGGCTCTGGAGCAGATGGCTAATTACGAAGCACTGAATCAGCAGCAAAAGAGTAGAGCCTTCTACCGCATCCAAGCTACGCGTAGGCTGTGTGGAGCTGGCAACATCCTGAAGAAGACGCTGGAGAAGAACCGAGCCAGTATCGCTGAGGTCAAGATAGAGGTCCCCCAAGAGGACTCCTTTGCCCATATTTTCTTTGAGCCGGCGCAGTACACCGTCATGGAGAATGTGGGCAATTTCAACATCACGGTCACGCGGCAGGGTGGCAATATGACCAGCACCATCTACGTTGACTACCGCACAGAAGATGCCACGGCCAACGCTGGCTCTGACTACCATTATGCTGAGGGCACCCTCATCTTCAAGCCAGGTGAGACGCAGAAAGACATCTCCCTGACCATCATCGACGATGACATCTTTGAGGAAGACGAACACTTCGTCGTCCGCCTGAGCAACGTTCGAGTCGGTGGACCAGATGGCATGTTCCAGAGCAACCAGGAAGAACCTCAGGCTAAACTTGTAGAACCCTACGTCGCCACGGTTACCATTCTGGATGACGACCATGCGGGGATATTCCAGTTTGAGGAGAAGGAGGTCAAATCATCGGAATCGGTTGGCACCGCGCAGCTCAAAGTTGTCAGGTCAGCTGGAGCACGTGGCACAGTGCGCATACCTTACCGTACCATTGAGGGCTCGGCAAAGGGAAACGGCGTTGATTATATAGACGTGGAAGGAGAGCTGGAGTTTGAGAATGACGAAACCTGGTAAGTTTGAATTAAATTTGAATTGTACAAACGTGGAAAGAAAGTAGGGGATTTCTGATTTTGTTTGCTATTTTTCTTCATATCACTGAAAGCTTTCTTGGGGAGATAAACAGCTCTATTGAATCGTAAAATAGAACATGCCCGATGCAGTGGCGCTTCTAAAATCACAGCCTTTTGATAACCTTTCTTTTTTCAGGTTGTAATATTTACTTCATTTTGCGAGAAAAAAAAGATGATGACAAGCTGAGAAAAGGATTTGTTTGTAGTTGTTTCAAGTCAAACGTTGCGTATTCTATGACCCACACATCTGGACATTTTCTCACAGAAAGGTGGCTTTCTTTGATAAATTAATTTCAGTCCATTTTGGGGGTTTGAAACTGAATCTACAATCCTGGCCAAAATGGTTGGGACACGTGACAACCATCCTACCCTGCCTTGGTCCCCTGGTCCCCCTGGTCCCCCTCTCCCCGGACCCCTGGTCAATGTTGTCATCTCCAGCCTGAACCACAGACCTTGCAATGAGAGACAACATTGACCGGGGGCCGGGGGGGGGGGGGGGGGGGGCCAGCGAGATTTGGCCGGGACTGTAGTTTTTCCTCAGACTTCTTTCAGACAATGTGATGATAGGATTTAATTAAAAACCACAGTGTCTGTACATGTACATGTGTATGTTTTGATTATTCACAAGTACCAGAACATGATGGATTTACCAGACACCTTCATTTGATGTACATGTATACTACGTTGACCTTTTCCCAACACTGTTAATCTGTTCAGCCGAGTTATGAACGAGGCAGCTTAAGCGCAGGGCGCAAGTGTGATATTCAGTCACGACTACGTCTTGTTGCATAGCTGCCATTGCATACATGCTGCGCATTCCAAGGCCCAAGGATTCCTATTAAGTCTAGACTGGCCGCAAGTCTCTTGTGTGTGATAAACGTACTGATCAAAAAGGGCTCCCCCCCCCCCAGCAATTAATATATATGGCATGGCAAGTACAGATCAGTCAATTCCTGCTGAGTTTAGAAATTCCTCGAACTGAAAGAGTTGTTATTAATCACTTGTTTGAACAGGAAAGCTGAGAATGGAAATTCTTCGACTAGTGAATAGTAATGGAGGTAAAGTAGGGGAGTTTGTAAAGTACAGTGACTTTCATGTAAATGTAGTACCCTCCTATGCAAACATACATTCTGTCTCAGGTTGTCCATTCAGACAAAATCAATCAAGTGACTCTTTTTAACAGTTTAGAGCTCCCAGCCACAAAGCAGGATTGACTGGCTGTGACTGTTTATGTAATTTGATACAGCTATACTTTGACTGTAGATGATTGAGAAGCCAGCTGTGCCTACTTCTTGCCTGCTCTTGGCTGTTGACTGAATTTGACTAGTCACAGTGCTTGCTTGAAATATGATCTGACTGTTGGTGACCAGCCTGTGCAAAAGGCATGGCAGGGGAAGAGGATTGATTTTTTTGACTGTCTGTAACTGTTCAGACCCTCCTGCTGAGCAGGAGGGTTAAAAAAAAGGATTTTGCAAAATTTTAAAGAACACTCCATGATACTTACAATGTATGTAATGGCCTTAATCTAGAAAATTTTGGTCACTGCTGGAGTGCTGGGGGAGCGGGCACCCCCTCCGCACCCCCTAGATCCATCACTGAGAGAATGTATGTAAACATCACTGTGTGGTGTAACTCTAAAAACAAATGCTGTAAAATAAGATGAGATTTGAATACATAAATAATATGTCATTAATGTAGAATTATTAGGATATTTACAAAAAAAATACTCACGATTTACATCAAAATGCACGTTTGTAGGCCTCCATGTACCAATTTTACCATGCAAGTACATGTACGTATGTTTTGTATGTTAAATCTACGTAAAAGCTATGTGCGTCATTCACGTTAAGCAAACACTAAAAGATACTGCGTGTAACGTGAAACCCAGCATATGTCATGATTTAGAGTTCATCAGCTGAGAACACGCCAAGCGAGCCACCGTCGACCAGCGTCCAATCAATCTCTCCTCTTGTCTTGCCTCCCGTCGGCTAGTCAGCACGCCCTGTCAGATTTTTGCCGGGGATGATGGGCCGTTCGGCCATGGCTTGGATCTGTCTGTTTAATTGATCATTAATACTGGCCGACACGGATTGGCATGTAATTATTAATCCTAACTGAAGCGGTCAGCTGCGGGAAATGATTGTTCCGAGGGCCGCACGACCAAAGTACAGTTGGCATTTACAGTACTGTGTACATGTATGAAATGAAAGCATGTATGGGATATGTATGGTACATGCGGCTCGAAAAATAGTGGCTACATTGTATAATTACAGGGTTTTTTATCCGATACGCATTCAGCAATGTGTATCTCATATCGAAATGTCTATAGTTGTAGATGTGGACCTGGTGCAATAACCACACAAAATCTTGAGGTAATCGGCCTCTTTTCCAAGCCACATACCGGTACATGTACATGTACAGGGTGAGTTAGAATGATCTGGACCCAAATTAAAAAAATATGAAAAATATGTAGCAATCATCAAAACAAGTGCAGATGAGATACATTTGTATATGTTATAGGCTGGTATTTTGGACATATTTGGTGAAAGTTTCATGTAAATCCATTGTACCAGTTTGAAGAAAAGCTCTAGCAAGGAACACACACTAAAGTAGCACTCTGACCATGCGTTCCATGGTTCAACAAATTTATTGAAATCGCGTACTGATGTGAAGCAGTGTAATAACAAATAAAAACCTAGTCATGGCGACTGACTCACTTGAGGTTATTGACACGTTTAAAAAAGGCAAAACCAATTCCGTGTGCAGACTGGAAAATAAGCCACTTCAATGAAAATGGCATAACTTCTCACTGCAGCCACTAATTTGAAAATTTGAAAATTCCTGTGGAAGACAAGGTAATAACCATTCACATGAAGCACTCATTTTTTCTCAATATACTCTATTTGCCACAAAACATAATGGTGAACTCTGGTCCAGATCATTCTGACTTGCCCTGTACACGTATCCCATAGCTTGACTGATTTAACTGGGAGGATAACTTTGCAAAGAATGCATGTTTTTGCATAGGAGGGTTAATCAATTAAACAGGTAAGCTGAACAGAATACCGTTAAAATATCATTTCTAATGGTCACTCCGTGCACAAACAATAGATGGCTACTTTCAAGGGTCACAGTGGGGGTAATCACCTTGTGCATACATACAGTTGGTTTGTGCGCATATTTTATTCTGAATGTGTACAAACATTAGCATTTTTGCGTGAGTGTCAGGCGCCGTCAGAAATGCTTTGGAATGCCCCGGCCTCACTGGTCTCCCTCAATCTCCCTTTGCAACCGTTGAGGGGCAGTAGCAGATCTAGAGGGGGTTGGGGGGTGTAACCCCAGACCCCGTTCAGCCGCTGACTAATGTTATGAAATTCATAAAATGGGGCCAAAAATAATACTAAATAGAATGCAAGTTCTAAAATGTATTCTTGAATTGACTTAGAATGCAGGAGAAATCATATCAAACATTTTCCGAGGGCATGCCCCGGGCCCGGACTCGGACCCCCTTAGCTGGGCATGCCTTTGGCACGCCTTAGACCCAACCTGCGGCCTTATAGCAACCCCCCCCCCCCCCCCCATTTCCTGAAAGCTAGATCCGCCCCTGGGGTACATGAGCATGGAGTCCAGCATGTACATTGGTTCACGTGTTTGACTCCGGTTTAACATGCACATATGTAGCCTACTCCTTTAATGGTAATGTCATGATACAGGCTGTTTGGCTTGGTGTGATTAATTAATTCTACATGTGAGATGATTGAAATTTTGGCTTAATATTTCCTCGTAGGAGAGAATTGTGGCTCATTGAAGAAAAGTGCTTGCAACATTACACTGGCAAGTCGAAAGCTTGGAAACTTCATTCTGTGTAGGCTCACAAGCTTGAAGCTTCAGTGAAGAAATGTTAAGTTGTATATAGTGTGTAAGGAAAACCACAGATAAAGAAATAGCTTGAGGGATAAGGTACAAGTACAGTAGCAACGGAAGACTTAATCCAGAATTTGTGAGATACAAACTTCTATATGTAGCTTCATGTAGGTCACAAAGGTGAAAGGTGAAATGTACACGTCAGTGCTACTCTGCCAACGTAGCCCTATCCCCTTCCCAAGTCTTTTGTTTTTGTTTTTCAGGGCATATCAGTAGGTCGATGAAGAGCTTTTTTCTTGCGTTTGACAGCACTGTGTGATGACCTGGGTCATTATCACCCCTAGGCTGACATTGAATTTTCAGTCACTGCTAGATTCATTGGTTTCCACCCAGCACCTCGTAATCATGTGCCATCTCCTTTTCTTCATTATTGTATGTTTCTGCAGTCTTGTGTGTAGCAGTGCATATTTATAAGGCTTGCACAGTTTAAATGAACGCACTCATCTTTTTTTGCAGTTTCATTACCAGAAATAATAATGAACAAAAAGAAACAGCAATCTTGGAACCACTTTTGACATTTTATGACATCACTCCATTGTCTCAAGTTCGGTGCATCTGTGTTAAACGTGTGCGCTTTTTGTCGAGGTGTAACTATTTTGAAGACACAATGTGGCATCACATTTGTAACGTAGGCCTATAGAGCTGCGCAGTGGATATGGAATGACAGGTACATGTAGTACTAAAACTGTAATATTTTAACAAATGCCAATTCACAGCTTGGGTAAAATACGCAGAATTGTTCATGCCTGATAAAGATAATTTAGCTGTCAGCACATCTCATTATCCCATCACACGTACGCGCCTGCATGTGTGTAGGAGATGAGCCTACCGGTCTACCAGAAGGAGAGATCATTAATTGGTCCCGCAGCATACGTCTACAGAGGAAACCAAGCACGGCTAATTATTTGGCACTGGGATTTGGAAATACCAGAGGGCAGACGAGAGGGAAGAGGGGGGGGGGTGGGGGAGGGGAGGAGGGGAGAAATCAGACAGGCACCAGACCATAGTGATGATATATAGGAAAGCCAGGTACATGTACACGGTTTTATTAATCTGATCAACCTTGCCAAATTGTAGTCAGAGGATTAGACCTTCACGTGTGCAGAGCCATGGTCGAATGTCAGATATCCTAACATGCAAATTTTATGCGACCCCGTGTGCCAGCCAATTGGAGTTGACTTTAA